AAATGGGACATTTGAAGTAAGACGTTTTATAAAGTGATACAGAAACAAAAACATAAATGAGACAAAGGAAAACAACTAATCTGTGGATGTTTCTTTTTTGCTAGCGTGGCATCTCACTCAGCAAAGTGCAGCATTTGTGGCTTTGACTAATTGAATTTCGAGTAGAGCAACAACAGCGGCTACCCACGACCCTAAACTGTCTCCAATTAATTTTTCAATCCAGTCCAAGCCATTAGCAGTGTGAGGGAGAACTCTGTAAGCCGCTTCACTCTAACAAGTAAGACACAAGCAACGTGGAGAGGTTCCACTGGGAATTTTCCAATGTCAAAAGTCTAAGCTGCGTGTTACTATGACAAAGATCCAACCTCAATCAATAATGCATAGCCCTCTAAAGTTGGCTCATAGACCATAGTTGTGTGCAATTGGCTTGAATAGAATCCAAAAATATGACTGACACCAGATACAAATAAATGCATGTTCATGCCTCTCCACACTAGATCTTAAGCGTTTGTTCAGCCCTCGTTCCCACATAATGAAGAAGACTTTCTTTGTGTGTGTGATTTTATTTCTTTTTCTTTATCTGTGTGTCTCTTGCTTTCCTTCTTAATAGAGGTTTAGATCAATAAAGTCTGCCTCTGGCGCAGACCTTAGCACTGAAGCCAATTGTTCCAGGAACTGTGGAACAGCAGAGCACACACCGTTTTCTGTGAAGCCTGTCTGATGTTTGCATTTCACAAATGGCACTGCATTCACTATTTGATTTGGGCTGGATGAAACATGTTTATTTTGCCTAACGTCCCAGTCTTGTCAAAGACAAGTTCAGCTAGTCCCAGGTAGCAGGTAGATTAATAGGAAAAGGTTGTTGTCACTTTTATCTTAAAATGTCTTAGCATATATATTTGACTGCAAGCCTGTCTTTGAATGAAAAAAAAAAGTCAACTACTATATCTGGTCTAGTGAAGTTTTTGTACAAAAATTAAACTGTCATTGGGCAGCAATTCCTCTCCTTTTGGGGAACTCGAAAGCAGGAAAAGACAGGATAGCAGTTTGTCCTTCTTAGCGTCTTTGAGCTAAGTGTGCCGGGAGTCATCAGTAATAGCTAAAGCAGATATTCAAATGCTATCAGTCTTATTATGTAACAAACTGAAAGCATCTATATGACATTAAATAAGGAAAAAAAACAAATTATTGTCGTTGTGGTTTAATCTTCAGCTTAGTATATGGATGAACAGATGACCTTTTTTGTTTAACCTACAATCAGCAGCAGCACGAAAATGAAAAAAAAAGGACTGTACTTACCAACCAAGCTCGCTCTGAGACCAGACCAGCGCAGGATGTTACTGTGAGGATAATACAAATTAGTGAACCGTTAAATTGCCAAAAACGCTTCAACAGTATAATGTGCTGACTCATGGCCATCTCATTTTCTCTTCAACAGACACAATGTGTTTTTTGAGAGAGGACGGGTTGAAGCAGACTGTGTTTGATTCAGCTATCTTAAATGACATATGATTTCTTAAAAATAGATGGCATCAGAGCACTATGAGAATACAAATCTTCAGTTTACTATCACAGCTTAATATCAAGCATGCAAACAAACAGAAACTTCTAACTACATTGACTGATAACTAATGATAACACGGTTTTAATTCTAGAAAATAAATCTATCCTTACATTCCATTCCACAACAAACACACCTTACACAGTGGTTTCCAACATTATGTGTGCATGACTTTATGGACTTTGGTGTTTCTTCACTCATATTTTTTGTTTTTACTTTGTTTTTCATTTTGAGGAGTCAGTCTTGTCTCTTTTTAGTTCTGTTCTGTTATTGCTCTCACCCATGAGTGTCTCTGCAGTCCAGTCATTAGCTCTGCTCTCTTTTCACCTGAGTCTCTCCCCCTCAGCTGATGGCGCTCACCAATCATCGTCCTCTGCATTTAGGCTCCTGATTTCCTCCACTCATTGCCAGAACTTTCTTGTAAAACCCACTCTCTCATCCCCATGTTTGGTTTGGTCTGCTCCGGTCCGGTCCGGTCCGGTCCGGTCCGGTCCTCCTTGTCCTGTCCTGGAAGTCAGTTTGTCTGTTTTTGACTCTCAAATGAATCTGATGGTGTAGGAAAACATGTAAATGAGATCAGCTTTTGTATCAATTTTCTGTATTAAGATGCAGTAAATGCTAACACAGAATCAAACGGGCAAAGTGCTGATGCCGTGCAGAGCTACAACAATCACACTTGGGATGCTAACAGCCTCTATCCCTGAACACCAAAAATGTTTTTTTCTGCAGACATGTGTACTTCTGTCTGCTATGGTGCCATTATATAGCAGTTAAGTATTCATCATTTGTAAAAGTCACGCTTAACCACAACCTTAGTCATTTGAAAGTGGTGCAAAGACTGTCCGTGATAGAAAAGCTTCTCCCTCTGCACAGTCTTCTTTTACAGGAAGAACCGGCCCCAGTGGAGTGAAAGTATGAAAGACTGACTCATCTTGTGACTGAAAAATGACAAGCTGTCAGAACAGTGCACCAAAGCTTTCTTGCATCTAAAGTAGTAAGTTAAAGTCAAATAAAAGGACATATAAATGGTCAGACATCATAAATATCAAGTGCTTGGATGGAATGCAAACCTCTGTAGTGTGTAAAATAAGGGAGCTGCGAGCGATCATCAGTGCCTGAACCTCATGCATAACGCGTGCAGGGATATTGGTTTCTGTACTGTTTACTGTCATCACAGACAAATGCTACTGTAAACCCCTTTCCACGTGCATCAAACTGTTAAAACTACAGGATAAACTTCACTACTGACATTTTTTAAAATATTGGTCATATGTCTTAAACTATAAAAGACTAATTTATGATCAAACAAATAAAGTAGACACTACAAGAATTTTCCATTTATCGAAATGGAATTAATAACAGTATAGGGCAATAACAAAGTTAGCTTGTCACATCTCTGGTTAAAGGAACTTAAGGCCTGCTGCTTTCATGTACATCTAGTAGGCATGATACTCTAGTTTATTTAATTATTGCTCAGTTCTTCAAACCTCTGATTTTTATGTATGCACTAAATAGAGAGGAAAGATTTTTTTTTATATTACATCTCTACTTAGGGACATAAATGATGAGATTGTCAGAAAGGGAGAGAGACAGAGACAGAAACTAACTACGGAATTATAGAAGGGCTCATGTCCAATATTTAAAATTCTGAACCATCTGTTACCTCGTAGGATCTATGCATCATTTTCTGCTTGATTATGGAGCTGTTAATGGGACATATTTGACAAGGACATTTTGGGCAGTTGTAGCTGGCGTTTTTCTGATCATTACACGCATGATTTACCTCCCTGGCATCACAAACTAACCCAACAAGGTAATAAATATGAAATAATAGACTTTAGGGACTGTGAATAAATTGGTAGAATATCATGATTATCTTTTCAAAATGTGGAAGATAACAAAGGGTGAAATATTGTAATAAAACGGCAGTGTAAGTAGGTACAGGCAGTAGCCAATGAATCCCTCTTCTGTTGTTTTGTACATTTTTTCAGTTGACGTTTTTTTTCCTCCAATGAGAGGACTAAATGGGACTGTGGCAATGGCTTCCTAGGCTGCATATTTTTTGTAGAGACCAGCTGGTCACTCGCAAGGGAGAGAATTAAAGGCTAAAAATGGAAGCAATTTTCTTCCAAGATTAGCCGGTGAGGAAACAAAGAAAGATGAGTTTAATGAAGCTTTGTGTCATAGAATTTACTCATTCAGTAGTTAGCTTCCATTTTTTCCACCTAATTGTAATTCTGTGTTGAGGTCTTTTAGGTTTTGATTATAATACATGTACAGTAATTACTTTGCAAGTATATTAGTTTAAAAAAACAAAATTCCCAAGGCTATGTTGAAATGCTCTGGAGAGAAATGGAAAATGATGTGCTGATGAAGAGATTGGATTCACTTATTGTTTACTAAAGAGAGCCATCTACTGGCGAACAGCCTAAAACAAACCATAATAAAATAACTTTGCATTGCAAAGCTATTTATGATTCTAAAATTGTATGAAAGCATGATAAATAAAATAAATAATACCCAGCATTAGATACCAAAGAATTACATAGACCAAGGTGTACTTTCAGTAAGAAATCCCTTTTCCTTGCCTTATCTGGAAGGCCTGTTTTAGCCATTATGTGACTCAAGCATCTGATAGACTTTTTCCTCGCCACTGTTACCAGTTCCCATTACGCTTGGCACCTGGTTGGTCATCTAAATTGGGAATGGTGAAGGACTGGCAGTTTGCAATTGAAGATGAAACAGCAAACAGCATTATGACGGTTGCTGTCATGGAAAGATTTTGTAACACAAAACATAAAAGCCATATATGTTTCAACTCTACACGCCCCCTTTGTTTGGTAATGCTGCCATAACATAATCAGTGTTGACTGCTGGCAAAGAATTAAGTTTAAAACTTTCAACTATATACAGTAAATGTGACAAAACGTGACTGCCTGTGATTCAGACTCAGTCTGGTTTCTAATAATATCTCTCCCCCCCCCCACCTCTCACTTCAGCTGTGACAAAAAGCAATTCATCACACATTCAGTTGCCCCTGTTTCCCCTCTGGCTCATTTCCACAAATAATTTAGGGATCTGCTGCCAGAGATGTTGGTGATGTGTTTGGAAAAATAAGCATCTTTTCAAGGTGACGATGACCCTCTTAGTGAAAAGAAAGGGAAGCCACTGAAATCCTATTAGAGGAGCGTCTTATTTTTACTGTAATCAGCAGTGCCACTCTGCAGCATGGCAACAATTCCCATCAACTTCCTTTGCACTAATTCTATTGCTGTGGATAGCAAGGTCCATTTTAATCTAAAAGAGATTGCATTTAGGACTGATACACTGTTTTTGTATCAGAGGTTTTAAGCAAGGGAAAAACTTTAAATCTGTACAACATGTTTTTGAATTCCATTTATGCATCTAAAGCATTAAATGTTTAGAATTTTACATGTTTAAAAAGATACAACTGAACAAATAGAACATTTAAGCCCCCTCCGCTATATTATGTGTGCGAACAAAATGTGTTGATCATCGCTCTGTAGAAAACAATAAATAATTAATTGTTTAGCAGATCTGTAAACATTAAATATGAGGCATGGGCAACACTTAACAGTTTAAAAAGTCGGAGGAGGGAAAAAAAGTGTAGAAGGAAGAAAAAAAGCAAAACAAAATGAACTTGTTAAACAGTTTCAGATAGAACTGTCAAATTCCTGTGAATGACCCACAAGATGGACACCCTATTGGAGCATCCTTGAAAGCAAACAGTTAGTACTTTTTTCCAAAATGTTTGTTGACCTCACAAATGCTTATATACAGAACTAAACTGATTAGAGTAAATTGATTCTGTTCCTTCAGCCATACAAGCTGCATCTTCACTTGGAGGCCTGAGCCCTGGTAGTGGATTGTGTAGTGCTGGCCATCGTAGTCATATGACACAGGCGTCTCCTCCTGCCTCAAGGAGACGGGAGAACTGACACACTTGAATGGTTTCCTGAACTCATCCAGCAAAGTCAAACTCATGAAGCAGCAGTTCTGGAAAAGCAAAGGGAAGTAGAGTGTGTCAGTTAGTATCTTGGCTCTTTGGATCCTCAAAGAGCTAATTTAACATCAACAAAACAGCCAAATCCACAGAGTGGGAGCTATTGTAGCTGGAGCCCTTTAGGCAAGATATTTTGAGCTTCAACAGGTCTGTGTGAAACGCAACTCAATTTAAAGCTAAATATCTCCTTTTACTCATTTATTACTGGATCACACTCATTCTTTCTAACTGGACACAAAATAGAAACATAACAGAATATGTAAAACTGCTGATCAAATTAATATCAAATGTGACATAAAAAAAGTAACTGAGAACATTACAAAGCTCTGTAAATCTAATAACAAATAAATCTAACCAACAGACTTGTAGACACTTCGGCCATTTTTCTTTGCTCTGTATAACAGAAAGACAGTTAAAAGCATATGGATTACCTCTACTGCTCCCTGCAGGACGTCACACCGCCACTGCAGGGCGACGCCGCCTGCCAGAGGAGTGTGCTGTGACAGGTTGGTCCTGCAAATGGCTGTAAGCTTGATCATTCCATCAGAGATCTCAGCTGGTCAAAGAAATCACAGTAAGTCCTCTGCTATAAATATTGGCTTTATTATTGATACATACATAAGCATCTTAGTATCTTTAAAAAAGTTCATCATTTGAATTTAAAACAATCAAATCTAAAAGAACCTTGAAGCACAGATCATTTTAAGACATTCCTTCTAGTGTAAAAATGCTCACAGGATTTATTTTATAGGTTATTCTAGGAGGTGAAAGAAAACCACAAAGCACCACAAAACCACCAAAGTAGTAAATTCTTAGACTGGTTAACATGATATAATAATATAATACCAATTTGTTGAAGTCCCAATGTTTACCTGCTCCATAAAATCATTCAGTTTCTAATGTGCAATGTATTTAGCACAGCTGTGAGGCTCAACATCCTGAGGGAGTATTAGTGTTGGCTTTATATTCATATCTTTAAAAAAAGGGATTCTTGATATTCTTTTTTACCATGATCTTTATTCAAAAGTCAAAGTTACTATATATGCAAATCAAACTGTGCAACTTTGTGGGTAGGAGTAAAAATAGATTACCTCTGGGGCAAAAAAGCTTTGAAAAGCTTCCAGACATGAGCTCGCATACAGTGTCATGAAGAACAATGTGTAGCTGGTAACCATGGAGACCGTATTCAGGGTCTATGTCGTCGAAAGGAGGTTTGACACTTGGCTCCTCATAGGGCCTAGAGGACGAAAAAAGTAAGAGGGTGAAATGAGAGAAAATTAGAAGAACATACTTCATTACAAAAGCAGTTCAGTCACAAAGTTAATTTACTTCTGTGGACTGCAAATGTGCTGTAATATAATAAAATACCAGTAGAGGGGGCTATGTCCACACCATGGTGGGTAAAACTCCGTGCATCCAGCAGAGAACAGAACAGTGTGTGGTCCTGACAGTTCTTTTGTGTTTCCTCCTGTTTGATCAGCAGTGCACGTCTAACAATACACAGCAGCTTCAGGATGAATCACGTCAGGACCCACTCTCATGAGGTTGTGGAAAATAATATCCTGGATGATTTGCTCTAAATGTCTCAAACTTTTTTACTCTAATTTGGTCCTGACACACGAATGTAGTAATTGCTGGTCACATGGTGAAATACCCATGCCACTTAGCCAAATAAATCCTTTCTTTGATTATGTCCTCTGAATGTGAGCCATGACCGAACACTGCACACCATGTCAGACTGCAGAGAAGAGGAGCCTACCAGTCTAAAGATCCCAGAATGCTTCTCTCCACCAGCCTGTGGAAATGGAGGGTGAGCATGATGAAGGCAAGGGAGCACTGGTCCTGCAAAGAGAACCAACCCTTGTCATTTTTTGGGGCTGAATTAGTTACTCTGATGTGAATAAGTGCACATAACACTGGTTCAGCTGCAATAAGCTAATGAATAATAATAAAGAAATGGCATGGCTGCCTGTGAGGTAATTACCCTCCAGACACCGATAATGATTCCAGGCTGGAGCAGCTGCAGCTGCACCAGTCTGTCCTGGCCGATGACCTGTGTGCTTTTAGTTAGAGGATGCGTGTCCAACTTTGCCATGAGGGACCTCCTGACAGCAAAAGCAAGGAACACAGTTGGTTTCACAAAGAGATTACTAGACAGAGACAAAGAGAGAGTGTTAGAACGGACGCAGACTGCCTTTACTTCTTTAGGCCGGGGCATCTGAGGGCAGTCCTCTTGACACCATGGAGTTGAAGGGTGGCAATCCGCTCGTATTTGGGCAACGAACCTTCTCCACTCCAGCACAGAGTCAGACTAGTCTGAAAGAACTGGGACCAGCTCAGCTCTAAAGTGCTCTTGTGTCCTGACTTATCAGTAATTGTCAGTTCCCAGGTGACGTGCAAGTTTCTGGAAGAAGACATGGTAGTGGTGAAATAAAACAATATGATTTAAGATGGAAAATGCTGGGCTTTGAGTAAATCCACATACGATGTAGTGTGGTGAGGACTCGGCTTCTGTTTAAATAAGTCTGACATCTACAGATCTTTTCTGCGTTATGAGGGAGAAAACGGTTGAAAGTGTCCCCGAAAAGCAAATTATATCAATTTCAACACAGCTACAATAAGTTGGCAGTTTTGGAATTATTCCAAATCAAGCAAAATATTATTCTAATGGCTTAAACACTTGTGTTGTCAGAAGGGAAAGCTGCATGACTCTTTTAGAAGCAGCTTCTTACAAATGGAATGATATGCAACAAAAGAAATGTAACTGCAGCTGCTGTGACAAATTTTCTTGATCCAATTCAGTCGAAGCTGTGATTCAGTGCTGCTCCTACTGTGATGCAGCCGGTGTCTCGCTGAGACGCCTTCCTATATCAATTAGGAGGAAGAACAAGGCTAAAAACTGGAGCAGCCCAGGAGGTCCCACATGACCCCAGGGATTTCACTCCGCACTGTCTGTATATGTGATGTCTAGCATAAAGATTATTATCAAGGTAAATCGCATGCTCCACAGTGCTTCTAACAGAGCAGACTAAACCCCTTGGGAATTTGTCTCAACTGTTCGATGGAGGGAAGGCGGAGAAGGTGTGGGTGCATGAATCCAAAGTGTGTGTGTTGGAGATGAGGGGTTGGAGGGGTAAGTAATTTAGTTCAACATTTTAGACTGCCTCTGGAAGGAACACAATTATTTCTACTTCCCCTCTGTAGCACAGCAACTGCTACAGAACTCAAAATTGAGTGCTGCACAGCCTCTAATCAGAGGTTATAAAAACACAGCAGAAACTGCAGAGGAGGTGGAGAAGGAGCTTCCCCCCCTGCGTGCTGGCATTCCCCTGAGCACACATCACATTCAGACACAGACCTCCTTTCTCACCTTTAATAAGAAAGTGTCATTAAGTGCAATATGAAAAAAACAAACCACCCTTTGATTCTGATCGCAAGCATCTTGTCTCGTGTCTCTGCCTTCGATCCCCCTCTAAAGCAAGGGAAGATCTCCAAAGTTTCTCTCTTTCCTAACAGTGCAGGGATAACTAAAAGAGCTATACAAGTAGGGGGCAACACTAAAAGCCCTAAAAGAATCCGTTGTTGTCAATGCGTATGCAGTTGAGCTGAAATACAATGAATATACTGAATAAATTCATTTGAGGAATCCAAAGGAGTCTAAATGGATGTCTGAAATGCTTAAAGAAACATATACCACAAACCGAATAAGCTAATCTCTCAAGAACTACTTGTCAGGCTATTCAAGTATCAGGTAAGTGAAGTAGCTGAATATCAAGCAAATAATACATTTCATGTACGGTACTTCATTTGAACCGGTTATCAGATGCTGTTTCATTCTTTTTCTCTGTTCCTTGTGAGGGGTCTCAACGCACCTGAGGACCTGCTCTGTTTGGCTTGGGAGACCAGTGTGACAGCTGACGTTTGCGAGAACTCGTTTCCACTTTCTTGTGTCACGGGCCACTAAGGTTTTGAGGTACTGCCTCTTCCAATAGTCCTCAGCTTTATCCTGCAAGTCCAGCAGCAGCTCTTGTACACCTTTGGAATTCTGCTTGTTGTTCTTGTTAAACTCAGCCAGGTATAATTTCATCCAGAGAGCACTGCATTAATGGTGCCAAAGGGTACAGAAAACACAAATTTTGGTTAGAAGAATTGATTAAGAAAGGAGTTTATTATGTTGCATATATCTGCCAAGCTAAATTCTTACAGTCTGACACTCTAAGATGGCTTTCAAAAGGATATGCTTCTTGAGGCTATTATGTATGTTGACATGAAATAGGCAAGAATGCATTATTTTAACAACTGAAAGGAGCAATGGCAGCTTAATCTGTTGAAGGGTCATACAACCTCAGACTTAGGTCAAGAATGTTGGTCTAGAAATTTATGAGGGTCAAATCGTACATTTCTTTCAAAATTCAAAATCTTAACAGCCATGACTTTTCTTCTATGACCCATAATGTTTATTTTAGACAAGGGCCTGTTGCATGTGGGAATAGGCTAACTGAATCTGCTAAAGAGTGTTGCTCCCCAACGAAAGGTCATTTTGAGCCTCATTGGTAAATAAGGAAGTCAGATTTAGCTGTATTGAAGATTACAACTTTGATCTGTTCTGGATGCTATGTCTTACCTAAAACAGAATCTCAAAGAATCAGAGAATAAAGCACATTTTTTCTATTTTGCTGATCGTGTCTTGGTTCTCCACCGCAGATTTGCCAAGAGGATCAATCCACAAGTCCTACCTTTATACAAGAGCTATATCTAAAGGCCCTAAAAGCTCCTTCAGACATCCGTTTTGCTCTTGAATGTACTATTTTCCAGATTAATGAAGAAAATAACCTAAAGCATCACTAACTTCATAAAGACTTTCTAATCACCTCACCTCAGGTAATGTCAGAAATAAATTTGTATAAAAGCTTGGGAAGATGTATCAGTGACATTAATTGTTGGCTGCAGAATTATACTCAGTTTGAATATATTTGTTTGATTTATTTCCCATTGTGGATTAAAAATATACATTCAACTCTCTCTCTGCTTTTTGTTGGAGTAGATAAATGTACTAATATTTTTTGACACAATGCTATTGTTGCTCTGACAAACCTTGGACGATACTTACTTATCGCTTGCGAGCAGATAAAAGAGATTATTGACGTGGCTGATGGTGAAGAGTGCAGGCGCATCCAGGTATGACAGAATCTTAATCAGAATCTCACGCGGCAGTCTACGAAAAGGATAATTAGACATCAGCACAAGGAAGTGACACCACTGTTTTCATGTCTTCTGGTACTGAGTTTGAAGTCAGGAGTCAAATAAATCAAAATATTCTCAATCTAACTTCGAGATGATATTCATATCTGTTAGCAGGAAATATCGATCAAGCTTGTCTAAGAGCACCTGTTCTGGGTGGGAAATCAAAGTGGTCCAATTAAGCCACTCAAGTGATTAAAAATAATTCTCACAACCTGCCCAGTTAATCAATGACAATGACATGGTATGCAGGGATATTTTCGTCACTCACTGCATGCGAAATGCCAGGCAAAAACCACATCAAGAATACTGAGAGTCAATTACCACCTGCTTTAAATTGAAATTTATGTTAATCAACTAGTTAACCGGACAGATACAATCTTGAGCTGTGGATTTATAAAAATGCTGTTCTTTTTAATTCTATGTAAAGAGTAATGGCCAACCAAGCAAAAATTGGAATTTATATGAAACCAACATTTTTGCCCATATCATATCCAAGATAATAAGGTCATACCGACAGGTCCAAATTAGATGAACACTATTTTTTAAAACGGTGAACAACAAATCATTGCCAGCAAACACTTGTTTGGCAAAAATGTTCAATAAATGGTTCAACCCAATCAAGGCTTTAAGCGATTAGTGGTTACTTAAATATGTGAAAATAAGGAGAGGAAATCCAGGTGGGCAAAAAGTCATTTCAAACTAAATGATAAAGGATGTGAGAATTCTTGAAGAACAACTAAGTCTGTACAATATTGCATTATGATCATCATTTCAAGTGTTGTTGTAACGCAGATTTTCAGTCTAACAAATGAGGTGAGCTGTACAAAAGTGAATCCCTGAGACCCTAATTTAGAAATATTCCTGCTGACTAGATATGGTCACAGTTTCAAATAATCAAGTAAAATGTGTCCCATATAGATGTAAAAACAAAGTTAATTCAAATTAAACGGCCATGCTTGTCTACAGCTGTGGACTTCATTCACTGGAAATGAGTGCTTCATTTGTCACTCATTTGTCAGGTTGCACAGGTTTCACGGCTATAAATCTCTGTTGTTAGAAGCTTATATAGCCTTGACTGCCACAGTTTCTGTACACAGACCGGTTGAAGTACCGAAAGCCATTCAAGTTGGAAAAAACGGTGCTTGTTCTGACAGATTACCTTTCCATGAAGTTGTGAGTGGACGCTGGAGATGATTTGTCAGCTCTTTTCGACGCCCTCACTGCCCGCAATCTAGAAACAACTGCTTTCGTAGCCGCCGTTTGTTTACCTGCTCCTGACATAGTTGTGAAGGATAGAGGGGGATTTATGGGCAGCCTGGACGCAGGTCATGTAACGTTCAAAGTCACGGTAGTCTGACAGTGTTTCTATTAATAGAACGGTAGGACACCGCAGAAAAACTGTACAAAGTTCATATTTTTGGATAAATGCAAATCGTTTCTCGTTTCGTGCTTTTCCGGCCCGGAAACTGTCTGCGTCCGGTTGCTATGGTGACCTCATCTGCTAGGCGTCTTTGCACGTGATTAACCTTCTTCCGGTTCGAAGCAAAAATGTCTTCCAAATTAAAGCTTAGAAACAGAAGTTTTTCTAAATGTATTTCTTTGTTTTTCTCTCAAATTTCACTGCACTGTAAAAATGACTCAGGCACATTCTAGCAATTACTGAGTTACTTTCAGTGATGGGTTCTTCTATGTGAAAATGAAGTATACCTGAAATCAACTCAAACTCTATTTATTCCAGATATATTGTGATGTTGCTGCATTTTGTTCTAGTCTTATAATATTTTGTCATATACATAATCATATGGACACATCAGTATAGTATTTTTTGCTCATTTTAGGTTGCAACTACCTATCTTTATAAAGCTCTTTCAACATGGCACTGGTGAAAGTAGTGTAAAAATGACAAAAATATAAGAGTAAAAAATACATTTTCTTGCAAATCATTGCATTCAGATCTTACTTAAATTTGTTTTACACAGCATCAAGGCTATTAGTATTGTGTCGCATTCAATTGTCCTTCCGTTAACTTCAGGTCCTAACATTGACTCGTACTCTGGTGGGGTTGAGGGCAGCTGTTTTGTCACAAAATTGAACAGAAGAATGAACAGAATCCAGTTGGTATACTAGGATTACCACAGCCATTCACACAAAGTAATACCTGTTACTGGGAGCTTTGCCCGCACAGGACGGTCTACTGTGCTGTCTCTCTGAATAACCAATATAGCTTCTCATCGGGGTGTTAGTCCAAAACTAACAGGAGATGAAGAGGCCAAAGTTTCCCAGTGTGTCTTTGTATACTTGCTCAGAGAGGTTCTTCTTTCCTATGCAAGACAAGAGAGACATCACACAAGTAGCTTCCTATTCTATTTGTTTGTGTATCCTGAGAATTAACTTCAAAATTAGGCAGTTTGAAGTCTGTCCTCATTTTCAGACATGGAGTCTACGCATGGATGGATGGATTAACAGGCAGAGGGACATGCAGATATCAATTATAAAGTGGGTCTTTTGACATACAGGTATCCATTTCAGTTGTGGAGTCATTTCTGTTGTGGCAGTAAAGCCACAATTGAAATCACTCAACGTTAATCTAATTCAGATATAAGTCAGTAGTGGGCTTAAAAATGAACGGCTGAATGTAAAGCCATTTCCTGCGTGTGTAAAAACACAAAGTAAACCAGATTGAAGATAAATCCTCTGCTTTGTTAAAGCAGATGGCTCGCTTTTAGAACCGACACATAACGACCTCCCCGTCCCTGGAAGCCAGTAGGCTCTGCTAGCTGTCAGGGGAAATAACCATAAAGCTGTTGTCAGTCTTGCCGATCAGCTTGCCTGATGGACATGAAGTTCCTTTCTGGGCAACAGCCGCCCCTGGTATGGTAAAGCTATGTAGGCCACATCCCTTTTCCTTGCATGTCCCCTGTACTTGACATTTGATGTTTTCTGTAGTTGTGTGTCCTCCTAAAGGCCTGGGGACAAATGTGGCTCTTGGATACCTGATGTCACCCTTCCACATGATTTGTCAGTAAACTCTGAGAGTAGAATGTTTGTCAAATGGAACTGAAGATTAACCATCATTATGGATAAAGTTATGTGTTTCATTTAAAGCGGAGGACAGAGCATCTGGGATATTTCAAGTGTCACATATTCATAGGAGTTTTACTGCTCATATTAAGTGATATATCATATATCTAGTTGATCTGCTATTAGAAAAAATGTCATACATGTAATCAACTCCAGACCAAAAGAAACTACAAGCTTTCCCTCCAACTATTTTCACAAACGTTCAAGAGTAATTTATACAGCCCATCGTTGTGTAAATGTGAGAATCATGCATAATAAAGGCAGCTTGCATATCTCTGAGCAGGAAAATGACAGCTCATTAAAGGTCTAAAGTGAAGGTTTGCCACTCTCAAAGACCACTCTGCAATATCCAGGGCTGTGGAGCGCTGATAGGAAGCCTCTACGCAGCTCTTCAAAGGATGATGACATGTCAAGACTTGAAAGAAAAAGGTTAAAGGTTCACCAGAGAGAAGCTGGACATTCTCTGTGAAGTGAGCATTTTTGAAGTGTCCTCTACTTTCAACTTGCTTATCAGACCTTTGTTGATTTTCAGTCCTGTTGTGAGAACATATTTCAGTTTGGCAGTGATTATGACTATTAAGAATATGTTCTTTCAAGGCTCTATGCTGGCTGTTAATTTAGACAGTTTTAATGCTTTTATTTTCCTCATGCAAATCTAAAAAGTATAAAACTCACCCAGAACAATACAAATCCACCACTGGATGGCGCACAAGTATCTTCATTTGAGTCTTAAATCTGCACGTTTAACGTCTGAAATTGGTGACAAATAAATGCATGCAGAATTTTCCGTGCAACAGTGGGGTTATCCACCGCAGCCTCCTTCATATCACATTAATCAGGGCGAGGCACGTGAGTATCACAGAATATTAATGACACACACAGACAGAAAGTGGTCCGCGGCATACTCTGGGGGGCCACAAGTTCACAGGACTGCGCTGATGAATATGTAAACAAAGTTATTAGTCCACGCATGTGCTTTTAATTGCAGGACACTTCTCGCCAATCTAGTTGCATTGGTTACACAGAATGGGCGTGAGCTGCCCTTGGAAAGGGAGCCCAGAGATTCGTGCGTTTCCTGTACGCACGATCTGAGCGCTCAGTTGAGTCTGGGAGAGAAACACAACGCACAGGCGGGATGGATAGCACAGGTAGGCTGAGTTTGGCTCTTTTTTCGCTTTTTAATGAAACGTCTAAAAGTGCATGTTTTCTTATTTATACAATAACAATAAATATAAGGAAAAATTAGCAACAAAATGTTGCTGATTTAATTTTAGTAATAGGTTTTTCACGTTTGCATAAATAGCAAAACTGATCAAAAACGATAGTGGAATGATTATCAATTTTAACGATTTTTTGTATTCTTGCTCCTGACGGCAGCTGTTTATCTTAGGCGTGTAGGTCATTTTACGCACAAAGATTATGTGAAGTTAAGTGATTAAAATGTCCCCATTTCTCTTCTGCTAATAATTCCAACTTTCCCTCTCACATCGTCAGGATTTACAACTGTAGCTGTTTGAATACTTTCCCAAAATCAGGTAAGAAGACGCACAGGAGGGAGGGGAGTTGAAGCCGGAGAGTCGAGGCGCGTCTGTGTCTGTGTTTGGGAGAGAGTGAGGGAGCATCGCAGTCACAGAAAAGAGAGAAGGGAAGAGAGAAGGGGGACCAAGTCTGGACCAAGTGATCGACAAACCTCCAAGGAGCAGCCGGGTTGTTTCATTGCACACCGGACCAGTGATCCAGCCATGGTGCCGGCGCGCTGCCTGGGATCCTGTGCCCTCCTGGCACTGGCTCTCCTCGCGGGATGCGGCGTGGTTCTCTGCCTGGGCCAGAACGACACGGAGCCCATTGTCCTGGAGGGGAAGTGTCTCGTAGTTTGCGACTCGAACCCCTCTTCTGACGGAGCAGTGACCTCCTCACTTGGCATATCAGTCCGCTCTGCCGGGGCAAAGGTGGCTTTTTCTGCCGTGCGTGGAACCAATCATGAACCGTCAGAAATGAGTAACACCTCCATGACCATCTATTTTGATCAGGTGAGATGTCCAATTTTGGTTTTACCCGATTGCTTTTGTAAATCAGAAATGCATATATTCTACAGCTCAGTTGACTTGATTCTCTTGATGAAAAGAACTTGTTTGACATGATATGAGTGTGTTTTACTAGTGGCATTGCGTGGTCGAAACATTAAGCACCTCGAATCTGCAGAACGTGTCGTTTTTCTTTTGTTAAGGGTTTACATAAAACTGTGCGTAACTGACATGATTTGGTGATACAATGGGGTAAAAAAAGACCTGAGTCGTTTTTTCCATGTGACTTTAACAGTTCTGATCATATATTCTATTAAGTCTTGACGGCTAGGCATTTGTTTAGCGGCCTGTTAGGTGCATCATACGGGGAAACCTCCCAAACTGACACTTGGCAACCCATAGCCAGACTCTATGATGTGCCCCTTTGCAATCACTATGTGCGGGGTATCAACAACACATCACTCCAAAACAGCTGCTATTGACTGAAGCATGCAGAACTTTTCATTGTGCACCTTTTATTTGGTCTCAGGTTCTAGTGAACATCGGCAACCATTTCGATCTCAAAGCAAGTGTTTTCCAAGCTCCAAGAAGGGGGATATATAGCTTCAGCTTTCACGTGGTGAAGGTCTACAATAGGCAAACCATACAGGTGAGCTGTTACAAAACAATTGGTCAGCTTTTTTTTTACTAAACTGATGACATTTCGGTATAGAGAATCAACTTGGAGGTGTTTTCTCATCCTCCCTGCAGGTGAACCTGATGCAGAATGATTATCCGGTTATATCAGCATTCGCCGGAGATCAGGACGTTACAAGAGAGGCGGCCAGCAACGGAGTACTGCTGATGGTGGAACGGGAGGACCGGGTCTATTTGAAGCTGGAACGGGGTACCCTCATGGGCGGATGGAAATACTCCACCTTCTCAGGCTTTTTAGTCTTTCCTCTATAATCTAATTTGCGATCATTCGCATCGCAAGGGACCCCGATTAGACTGAGGAAGAAAAAAAGAGAAAAACAACACAAAAAGAAAAAAAAAAACGAAAAAAAAACGCCATTTATTTTTGACTTAAGAACTGTCAGCCAAGGAAGCCGACGAATTTCTGTACACTTGTCCTCTATTTAGTCAAACATGAACGTTTCCTTGGAGTTCCACATATTCAAATCCATCAGTCAACTTTAACGCAATCTGGATGACCAAACAGTGACTGGCCAGTGACTGGCATGTGCTTGTCGGGTATGTGGATTTTTTTTTTTTTTTTTTTAATTCTCGCTTGGAAAACAAACTTCAGTGACAGAGAAATGGGTGTCACGCGGAAAAGGGAGAAAATGAGGAGTGGAAAAACTAATACCCCGGACAGGCTGACTGTTTTATGCTCTATTTCATGTTTGTATAGCCTTAAAGAATATATGGTTTTCCGTCCAAGTGAAATATATGGAATAATGAACAACCAGAGAAGAAGTGCTTTCACGCCCAAGGCGATATTTTGCACGAATGGAAGATTCCTCTTTATGTTTTGTTGTGATGTCAATGGTGTTGCGTTTGGATGCTGAATATGTTGAAAATACGCCAAATGTAGGCCGCCTACGAGTTTATTAAAAGAGAAAAAAGGCGATATATTTCAGCCACCAGAGATGACATTGAGCCCTTTCATTTGAAAAAAAAAATTATATATATATTTAATTTACAAAGTACATATTCACATTACTGTGTGTTTTACATTTCGGAATCTGCGTAGCTTTGATTGATTTAATGTTCAGTGACGTTGCTCACTAAATGTACATTGTGAAAACAATAGAAGAATCCCTATATGTCCCGCTTAATAAAAGATATTGTATTGTATAGGCTAAGCGAATTCATCAATTATTCATGTTACAGTACAAGAAAGGAGACTTTCTGAAACAAATATTTGTACAGGAGGTGTGAGACCTCAAGAAGTAACTCAAAGAGTTGGTCACTATGCGCTGTCCAGGGTGCTGAAACAGACTAATGAGCTATTAGAAAAAAGTAACGCAGCACTTTTTCTTCCAAGTCTAAACTGAATGGTCACAATCTGGCGGACAAAAAGTAACTTCAGTGGAATAACATTCAAAGCTTGATGCTTTTTGTGTAGCTGGCTGGGGACTGGAATTTGACTGCTTTATTAGTTTATACACCAGTGACTGAAAAGCGATCCGAGCAGCAAACCTGCAGCTCTGCCAGGCCGCTGCAAAATATCCTCTCACAAGACAACGGGAAGCGTTATGGTTTAGGCACAGAGCCAAATACCACGTAAAATAGTCATAGGATTGATGTGAGTGGTCCATTAAACTTCACAGGAGAGCTAAAATCCCGTCTAAAATGTTACAGGGTGACTATTGCAAAGTTCACATCTTTTGATTCAAGTGATTTTTTTCTTTTTGAAATAATGACATAATCAGATTCCATCTTGTATGAAAACCCTTTGTTTTTGTATATTTACACCCACCCACCCATGCTGCGAAAATCAGGCACACACACACACATGACTTCATCCCTCCCCCTTTTCTTTTCCCACAGATACTGGCTCCTCTAGTCACAAAAATTCACCCCCCCCCCTCCCTGTTCTTAATGATGTTCAGGGCACTCCTATGAGTGAAGATGGTGCAGGTCACTCACACTAGTGCTGACTAAACAATAAATTAGATGTATGTGTGCACGCACACACACACACACACACACACACACACACACACAAACACATATGTATATATATATATATATATATATACATATACAAATACAAATATGTATATATTGGCAAGTAGGAAATGAGAAGAATGCTGTGACCCCTGGTTGTTTTTATCGTCTATAGATCAAAGCGCTTAACCTTTACTGATTTCACTTTGTTAAATCTGTGCCGAATTCAGACAAGTTATATACTTTTGGGGCTATGGAGAGGTTCTCTAAGCAAGTTTTAAACTCAGAGAGGTGTAGTCACTGTTTTGAACAATCTCAGAAATTGCCTCAAGTGTTTAATTTTGCAGTGATAAGTGATCTCTCTGATGTGAGTCTGCCGGGTAAAAGTCTGTTTACTTGGGCTTCAGATTATTTTTTGGGGGAAAAGAAGACCTTTTTTGTGATGTGGGCTGAAGTTGTATAATAAACTCTGGGGATGTGAACGGTAGACACATCTTTGAGCGTTTTGTATGGAAGCTGTGGATTACTTGGATTAATTGTTCTTAAAACACGCTGAACAGTGTGCTCCTACTGAAAGAGTTGCCAAAATTTGGAAAGCGAATGGTGCGTGACAATCAGTTGTGAATGAAAAGCATGATTTAGTATCATGATTGTATAAGAAATATGGATATCATAAACGATGAATTTAGATTTGTTTACAAGGTCACTCTTTTGGATTATTTGTTTATAAGAAATGTTCTAATCTAAGATAATGGAAGGAAAAGATGGTTAACCATTAAATTAACTTCTTTCCCAGGCTAAAATATTAACAGAAAGGGGAATGGAGGAAGGATTTTCCCTGAAGTGTTGGTTAGAGTCCATTTATGAGTTGTTTTATTTTTTCAGTATTAGCCAAAATTGTGATTTGTAAAGCTTCATACTCAATGACCAAATGAGGACAGATTGGTGAGGCATCCAAATCTGACTCTCATCCTTAAGGTTAAAGCCACTTTGCAGAGGAAATCCATCTTAAGACTGTCACAAGAAAATATGTTTAGTTTGTGAATCATGTAGGAAACCTGCCAAAAGAGTTAAAAGCCAAAATGTTGCACTTGCTGATAAGTCCCAGTTTGTTGAGATATATTAACACAGTATCACTGTTCTGTGTCAAACACAAACAGAAGAAAACTGTTTGTTCAGCTGGGAATTGAAATGAACACTAACAGCTGCTGGGCTGCTAGGCCATTTGAGAATATATTACATATGAACAGCTGGAAACTTGAGTTTGCTTGCTTGTCCCGGCAATGTGGATATCTGCTTTTTTTATCCTCTACTTTACGTTTATTTTTTGTTACACAGAAATCAGCAGCAGAGAACAGAGATAACCTGGTTTAAAGCTAAATATTTCAAAGCATAGATCCATGTAAGCACTAGTAACAGCCAGCCAATCACGTTTTTTTGGAGAGTTTATTAAAACAGCCTAACTTAAGGATTACTAGTCGCAGACCAAATTTAAGAATCTATGAAAGAGTTATTCTTTTAGATAATTGACTTGACCATCAAATTAAACCTACATGGGAAAATTTCAATTAAAAGAAAGACTTCTTGATTTTATCAAAGAGTTAGATTTTAAAATGAAGGTACATATTATCGTGTTAAAATTATGATATGTTTGCTATGATCTTTCCATTGGTAAACTTTACAATATAAGTAGCACATTGCACGACCAAGGAAGTATAAATTGTTCACTCAATTGCTGCCATCACTGTAAACCAGTTCTTACCCTAACTGAATTGTTCTTTTTGAAAACAGTGTCAACCATGCCATTAAATAGTGTACAATCTTTCCTTTTCCATTGTACAACAGACTGGGGTCTGCTTTTACTGAAGCACAGATGGTATTTTACTGCACTTTCCCGGACTCTGAGATAATTAACACTTGCAGATGCCATTAAAAAGCCCTGAACTCGTATAGCTTTCCACAGAGTCTTTAAAACATGCCCTTGTGCCACACTTTCTTTGAGGACCGGTCCTTTGATATGTGCAGCTCTAGGACAAGTGCACATGCAGTATGATCATAGATCTGCTGCATCCTCACAGTGGGGAGTGGCAGCAGTGCTCTGTGCGTTGCAATCTAAATTATGTAATGGATTCATGTCAGTTATTCCTTAATGAGGTTGTTTAAGTGAGTGAAAACCCACAAAGAAAGCAGGGACATGCATATATAGTTTCTGGAAAATGCATGCGCCCACATACGCATTGCTTACTCTGATCCCTGCTCTTTCAGCCTCAAAGAAATTGGAAACTATTCGGAGACAAGCAAACATATCTTTTATCTAAAGCGGAAAAATGACATTGAAACTATTTAAGACAGAAGAATGAAAGTTGTTTGCGGTTGATGAAAGCCATCCTCAGAAGATCAAGACTGCTTTGACATTCATTTCAGCTTCTCTTGTAGTCTCTAAACATTTAATTACACTGCCTCCTCAGTGAGTGATTTGTTTAGCTTCAAGTAGTGTGATAGTTGGCAGGAAAATATCATCTTCTCTAAATGTATTTACATGATAAAAAAAAGGGATGTCTTTTAGAAAGAGGATCAGGATTCCTCCTACCTAAATCAAAACATCCTCAAAATTTCAATTTTTTTATTTGGCTAACAAAGCATTCTCTTGTGTAAAAAAGCTGCACAAATGTAATCAAGCCCTTGCTTAATGCAGGATATCAATCCTAACTATGTGTTCTAGCTTATACTGATCTTTGCATGTCCTCTGCTTTTATATCATTTACTGTTCATGGAATAATTCTGGTCAAATACACACTATTTATTAATTCCACTTCAGGCATTAACGTTTCCAAGTGCAATATGCATGGTGCTAAATACCACAAGTATTTAGCACGATATTTACTTTAAAACTCTGTTTAAAAAACAATGACAAAAACAAAATCTACCAAAATGAATAAATAAAAACACTTGTTTTTTCTATTTATAAATGATGATACGTGAATAGATCGTGGTTTCATTTGATTTATCTTAGTCTACACTGATTTTAAAAGAAGATACATCGTGTAGATATGTTTTTCCAGGACTCTACTTGTAATCACCCTTAGGGACAACATATTTTTCCTTTCTTAGATACAAGGTCAAGAAAACATGCGAACTCACACATGTGAACTCACACTTTGGCAGCCTTTTAGATATGGCTTTCTGACCCACCTTTTGGCTCATGCTTAAACAGCTTAAGGTTTTTCTGCTCACTTCGTCTTATGTAAAATGTTGGGATCGAAATAACAAGGTCTGCTATGTTGTGCAAACAAATCATAAACTTGATGATAATGTATTGACTGTAACTGGACAGGTTTAATGCAAAGCCAAATTTGAAGCGGTTGGTCTTTATTCTTTAGAATTTTTTTCTAGTAGTTATTGAAATTGCATTAAGTGTGATTGTGAGTGTGAATGAGCCTTTCACAGCATTATTTTTTGTCAAGCTGCTCTCAGGCATACCCAAAGGCAGTTCCTCCTGGATTTTGAAATCATGCTTGGGGACTCGCTTAATCTAATATCTAATGTGACTGTGAATTAAAAGGGAATGCATACTGAATAGACAGATTTCATTCCAAAGCCTTGCTAATTTCACCGGCCACAAAAATGGTCACATTTCCTCTGTGAAGTACATAAATATAACTAGGGTTAGAAATAAAACCTCTTGTGGCTTTTCTACTGAGCAGTATTTCTTATCCTTTTTCCCTAAGAAATGTAACTCCTAATGACTACACATTTAGTCACACATGTAAAGTCATATGTCCTGTTGAGCCATGAATTTTAATCTGGCAGTGACCTAACTAACTTGCACTTGAATATAAAGAGACTGATGCAAACTAAGAATACACTTGGAGGATAACATGTGGTAGTGGCTTGTTAATAATGCATTTGTTTTGCCAAACAAATAAATAGACACACAACACTGACAAACATCAGTCACAGAACCGCCTCTGCGCGCGGGCCCATCCCTGAAGAAAAGGCAGAGAAAGTCTGTTTATTCCTTCTGCCACAGCCTGCAATATCCATACTGCTGAAACATGCAATTCCCCAAAGAAAATACAACCTCGTCCAAGCCCGCCCCTCAGCCCTCAACCCCCCCCTGAGCCCACCACCACCACCACATGCAGACGATATGCAACGCACAGCCAGGCAACTCTGGCTCAGATGAGCCTCCCCTTGATGTCATGGTTCCAATGCATCATATGTCTTCACAGTGGATTCAGGCTCAGCATGCCTGGGAGACACCATCCTGGACCTGACACCTAACCAGTTTAACTGCATTCATTAGAATAAAAACAAAAAAAACCCCAACTGGAGATGTGGATCCTCTGGTTCATGCACGAATACGCAAATCTGCACTCTTTTCCATGATGATCATGTTCGAGGTGGAAAGTGGAGGATCTTGCTACAGCTGTGAGAACAGTAGTAGATGTAGCAGAGTGCCATTTTTAATAAGGTTACATCTCTTGTAAGTGAAAATAGAAAATAGGAAATTCATTGAATCTTGAACTCATTGAAACCCCTTCATTGAAAATATCCCAGTTTCTCCAACCTGTCACCCACAGTTTGGCAAGGCCAAAAGGGGTGTTTGTGTCCTTTTAAAAACTACTAGTAAGGGAAAACAAAAGACTAAAAACAGGTGTGCAGGTAGACATCTAATCAACAGTGCATCGGAAATCTCCTAAAATTGCTGATAAGTGTTGGGATGATTCGGGTTGTTGCTCAACACTGAGAGCAACCTGAGCAGTTTTTTCCTGACTCGGCTATACAATCAGACCTCAGAGATACCGTTTATCTAAGTTGCACGATCAACGTAAAAATGCATTTCAGTAACACACAAAAAGTTACAAGTTTTGTGAAACCCTGAATCAAAATGATACGCAGTATGAGTCGATTCCTTCTCTTTATGTGTTTTATCCATGTTAAGTTTCAATTCATTTCTTCATTGAAACAATCTGGGCTACAGCCCTTAAATCACTTGGCAAAGAATGGTAATACCATCTATAATATTTATGCATATAGAAGGTATAATGATGCCAGACATATTCATGAGGACCAAATTTAGAACGGCTGATCTGCCGGTGACAAGGACGCTTCTC